CATATACTGGAAGGGACATATAGGAGATTATTAGGAGTGGCGAGGAGGAGAATCAAGAAAAGAGATGCAGATAGGTAGGAAAGGATGGAAAATGTCTCTCACTACGCTATTTTCTTCTCCAGTTGATGTAGTTGTGATAACAATGTTTCTTATACGTATATACGAAGGTTCTCCTGCTGACGAATAAAAGAGTGTTAGCAATGCCTTGCGGAGGCAGTTATTTTCACGCAGTTTGCTGCGGCTTTATTGGAGTGGTTAGGTGTGTGAAATTATTTTAAAAAAACCTCCAACATATTTAGAAAAGCAACAACAGACAGACTGGCGAAACAGGAGGGATTGATTATAGCACTGAGAATAATTTGTGGTAATTTATTTGTGATGCTACATTTGAAGAAAGGCCTACATCTATGCTTTTGATGTGTAAAGCTGGAGTTAAGAATTGGTCGATAGAGATATGAAAATAATGAACACAGAGCTAATTAAAAGGAATCAAAAGACAAAGGCTGATCCTTATTGCCAGTGATTACAGAAAGTTGCTCGGTCAATTTTGTAGTTGACTGATGACAGCCCTTGATCCATTTGACCCCTTTGCAGGCAACCGTCACTTTCACACAGGAGTCAGTTTATGCAATAACACTGTAGATATTACAGATCATTACATCTGTTGAAACAATTCTCCCAAGGGAATAAAAATAAAGGATGCTGTGTGTAAACAGACCGCATTTGGCCCCAGCAATAGCAACATTGTGTGTCGTGGTGTGTGCGATGTGGTTTGGTGTGTGTGGTGTTGATAAAAGTACATGCTGCACTTTGCACTACATGCCCGTGAACAATGGCACACCACAGCTGTCTCACACACAGCGGTGATCAAAGAACTGCGATGTACGAGCCGACATAACACAGTCAACACACAGACTTGAGAGGTTAAGTGAAGATCTCCTCTCAGTACTTTGCCATAGAAACGGCATCCCCATCATGCAAGTGGACTTACAGGTGCTTCAGGTTGTCTGCTCACTGCTGGCGTATGGCTGGTCCGCCTGAAACACAGGAGGAAGTTATCTTATTAGTTGATTCACCACAACACACACACACACAGAGAGACCACACACCACACACAGATGGATCACATCATCAACTATCACACTGACAACACAGACGCATGTCATCATCAGGTGTATTTTTTGAGTGACATCATCAGACGTGCAACGGCTTGACCTGCGGCTCCCAGAGACTGTCTGTCTGCCTGCCTGCCTCCCTGTCTGTCTGTCTGTCTGCCTGTCTGCCTCCCTGTCTGTCTGTCTGCCTGTCTGTTATTTCCTCTTCCTCCTCTGAAGAAGAACAAGAAGAAAACCAGTTTCAAACTTTAGTCTGTGAACTCAACAGGAGGAAGATCTCAGCAGAGGAAGAGGAGGAAGGAGTCAGATGGATTACAGACACTGAGGATTTTTCTTCATCATGTTCCAACTTTTTGTAAACAGGAAGCTTCTTCTTCTTCTTCACAAATAGAGATCATAAGAACTTTTTATTTCTCCGACATCAGCTGTTAGATTTCCGTCCCTACAGACTTTAGTTTTAGTTGTTTCCTCTGAAATTCAACGTACATCCATCAAAGTCACAACTGGCTCCTAAAAATGTCGTTTATATAAAGTAAATAAAGTCTGGTCCTCCAGGTCTCTTAAAGCTGCTACTTCTGCAGTATGTGTTCCTTTTAAAGCTGTTAGCAGTGATTCTTCACATTGTTCGGAGGAGCTGAGACTCAAATCTTACAGTCTAAGTAAAGTTACTTAAAACTTAAAAAGTTGCTTAAAACTCAAATAAAAACCTAACCACTGAAACACTGAAATGGGTTGTGCTTATTACAACGTAAAGTCAGTTGTTCAAGATAAACTTCTTTAATACTTTATTGAGCAAAATCTAATCATTTATACCTTAATCTAAGATTAATAATTAGCAAAAAACAACAAGACACATTTTTCAGCTGAATAGAAATAAGTGATTTTGTCTTAAATAAAGGCACCAGATGAATTCTTATTTTTAGCATTTATTATTAGAACGACAAAAAACTGAACAGCTACTTTATTTCCGACACTGAGACTGAAACTGAACTGAGAAGTTAACCGACATATAAAGCAACTTTTCTCTCCAACCTGTGACTTGTATTCCAGTTGTTCACTGTAAACCATTTTCTTGTATATTTACAGTAAGTTACTGTAACTGTACTGTAATGCTATTTACAGGATATAAAACATACTGTATCACAAAACAGTATTTTACTGTATCGTATTGCACTGTAATATATATATATTTACTAATAATAATTATATATATAATGATATTATGATATTATATATATATTTCCTCTCCAGCATTACAAACACAATCAGGGCTCTGAATGAGAACTACTGGGAATCAGGAGCAGTTCACTTCTTCTCCTCTGTATAATTCACCAATAATGTCATCTCTGTGGATGGAAGGAAATCAGTCTAACAACTGATTTGCAGTAAATGGGTTTAAATATATAAAACTTCTCTTTAAAGCGCCGTCAGGAGTCCGTGAACAGAAGACAGACAGATGTCATTTGTCCTCTTTAACGCTGTTTGTATGCAAACTGGAGTCTCACTGTCTGAGGAGAACCTCATTAACAGGTTTCTCTCTGGACTCTGGAGGACTAACATCAGCCTCGCATACCAAACAGTTTTTATTGTAAATATAGATCACAGTGAGGACGACTGGTGGAGCTGATGGCTCCATCTCACTGCCAGTGTGATGGAAAACTTCAAAAAGTCACTTTTTTTTATATCCCTACATCACAAATCACAGTTTGTCTCAAACGTCCTCCATCCAACAAACACTTTAACAGGAATCAATAGAAGCTGTTACCTCTGAGGTGAGATTACAGGTGTACAGGTGTGTCGAAGTGTCAGTATTTTGCTTCCATAACGTGTCGTCCCACCCAGTGCACACAGGTTTCATAAATGGTTCCTTCTATAGAAGTATAAGCATAATATATTCTCATTTGCATATTTAAACTTAAATAATTTCATTAATTAACTTGGGAGGTTTTTTACCCTATTCACCTGTAGTGAATTTCACAATAAAATGAGTTTTGTCTCAAACTTTGAGCCAGAAACTTTCCACTTCCTCTCTGTAGTTTCCTCCCGTTCTTGTTGACACACTGAGACTCAAACATGTTTCTGTGTTTCGCTGATGAATTTATGAAACAGAGGACGAGTCTCTGAGGTCGCTGTGATCTGAAAACACTGGTTCCTGTTGTATTTCGGGGGCGGAGGATCAGCTGACTTTCACCACCATGTAAAATCGTCCTGTCTATCCCTCTGGTGGGGGGAGACGGGGAAGAGAGTGTGAGACAAGGCTGCTCCTGTGTTAACTTTACTGTTTTCCTATAAAAACCTCTTTTCCCCTGGATTGTTTTTAGCCCTCAGCGGGGTTATAAAAAGGCTATTGACTCCCTGTAGTAAAAACACTTTAAACTGTGGATAAACTGCTGTGTGAGGGGATGAGCGGGGGTGGGGGGGGCATTTATTTATGTCACAATAAAGCAAAAGAGACGACGGAGCGGTGGAGGGGAGTCAGACACCATGTGTTCATCACATGCTACATAAACTCTACAAAGAGCTTTTTCTGATCCTTCTTTACTTGTTTTTAAGGGTCAAACCTGATACCGGGGGGGGCGGGTGGCCTTATTTTTTATTTTTATTTTTTCTATTTCTGTTATATCTTGTATTTTATTGTATGTTGTATCTGATGCTGCTGTAACAAGTGAACTCACACTTTGCATCTCACAATTTGGACTTTTTAATAATAATTTTAACATTTTATCTCATCTTTTTTACTCAACACGAACATGTTTTATTATCAAGGTTAAGTTTTCATCTTTTTATTTTACTGGTGGAAATGGGCTTCCATAGTCGACAGCTGATAACAGCTGCTCCTCTTCTAATTTACATAATTTCAGTGTCACTGAACGTGTTTGAATGCAGAACAACGTCTGAAACACTGAACACAGTTTCTGTTCGGAGGTAAAATATTTAACACCATCGATGCCTTCAGTCTGAGAGATGGAAAAACACCGGCGGTCCCAGAGACAGCAACCAGGCAATCAGCCATGAATTAAATCAGTGTGTGTACAGACGGGGTTCAGTAAACAGCACAGAGCAAACACACTCACACACACACACACACACACTCACACACACTGTTCAATATTTACAGCAGGAAACTCAGCACTCAGGTGTTTCTGCTGCAGCATGCTTTTATTTTTATTATATTAATATACATATCCACAGAGGAAGAATACTTACAGCACAGGAAGAGGAAGAGCAGTGATACCACAGAGTAGAAATATTCTGTTACAGTAGAAGTTATCTTTATTTTAACTTGAGCAACAGAATAAGCATCAAAATACACTTAAAGTTGTTATTCTGCAGAATACTGTTACTGTATTTAAGTCTGTAATCTGTGAAGGAAATACAGATATTCTAGTTTACATTTAATGTGGCAACCTTGGTCGGACTCAGTGACACATTTTATAGATATTTTATATTATATTAAAAACTGTATGAACCTTAACATTGAACTAACAGTAACAGTTCTGAGCAGATTATTTCCTGTTTACGGAACTCTTCATATAATTCTCTGTCTGTATTATTTATTATATGTTTAACAATCATACAGACCTAACAGGATTCCTCTCTGACACATTCAGTGTTTTTTGTCTCTGACGGCCGTCGTTCTATTAGAGGACATGTTGAAATGATGAAGATGATGAAGATGATGAAGATGTCAGTGATCAGTTATAACGGACGCTGCAGTGCTGTGTGCTGATTGGCTGCAGAGTCTCTAATCAGAGTTCATTCTCTCAGAGCGGCTGCACTGGTTATACTGGGAGGACACACACACACACACACACACACACTAATGTGTGTGTGTGTGTGTGTGTGTGTGTGTTTGTGTGTGATCTCATGGCTCATTGAATCTTTTGTCCCTGCCGGCATTTTTCTGATTATCCACTGAGCAGCCTGTTATTATATCTCACTGTGTGTGTGTGTGTGTGTGTGTGTGTGTGTGTGTGTGTTACAGGAAGACAAACACTTTTTCTTGTTGATAATCTTTGTCTCCTCCTCCTCCTCCTCTTCCTCATCCTCCTCCTCTTCCTCAGGTGGAGGACGAAGCAGAACCTGGACTACTGTTTCCTGATGATGTACGCTCAGACTAAAGGAACTTACTACGTCCAGGTAGGAAGGACTGTATGGATGTTTCACAATAAAAGCCTCTTAAAAGTTCTGCTGAGGTCTAATCATTAACTTTTATTCTTTAGAAAGACTTTTAAAAACAGAAAACTAAATATTTTACATATATGTACTGTTATTTTACGGTGAGCTGTGAATCAGATTTTTCATTATTTGAGTGCACACTATAGATGTTTCACAATAAAAGCTTGTCCTGGACAAAACAGGAAGGAAACAAAAAAAAATCTCTTTTTAAAACTCAAAGATTTAAGTTTTACCAAAAAATAAAAGTAAATTATTTCAATAAAAGATTATTTATGAACAAACATACACACAAATATTAAATTCCTCTCTTTTGTGTTTTGTCTGAAACGTTTTATATCTCTGTGGTAACGAGGTCTCCGGTGTAAAAGACCTTAATGTAACTTAATTAAATATTACTGATGAAATCATTAAAAACACTGAACTACGTGTTTGTGGTGTGAACTCATCACTGGACTGGATCTAATGAAGCTGACGGCCATTAAAGTAAAAAGTGTCTCTGATGTAACTCTGCTGCTGTGTGCAGCTGATGAAACTGTTGCATTGTGGGTAGACTGACGGGGACCTTAATGGAAGTGTCTCTGTGGCTTCATCACACAGTCTTTGTTCCCTTTAAAGAGGAAGAAATGTCAGATTCTGTCCTCCCGTCTTTAAAGTAGACCAGGACCCGGAGTGAAGGTTAATAAAGAAAGAGAAATCTCACGCTGACAGATTGTCTTCACCTCCGTACCCGAGAGGAAGAGAGAGAATATTACACATAATGGAACCAGAAATACACGTTTCCTCTCACCTGTAGTGCTGCTCGTCCATCCAGAGACGTCTGTGTGGAGCTCAAAGCCCCAAAAACTACAGTTCAAAAACTCAAAAGAAAAGTCTCCTTCCAGGAATCCTCACCCAGTTGCTCGAGATAATCCACAGACCTCGCTGAGAGCCGTTTCATGTAGGAACTATTTTCTGTTGTATCACTGCACTGAAGAAGGCTCATGGCGGCGCAGGATGGACGCATGAATGGCGTCCTCCTCAGATGAGCCGTAACATTAGCTAGCTCACCGAGCGCCACTAACCTTCAGCTACGGTTGCCGGCTGTCGTTTGGTTTCTTTGAGTGTTTTTTGGGAGTCTTTCATCAGTTTAAAATGTAAACATGTAAAGTTGATTTTTTTCTAATATTTTTGAAAATCTTGAGTACAGAAAACAAAGATTTACAGAAATATTAGTGTTGTTGTTTTTAAGAGAACATTTGTACTGTTTTATGTTCAGCTGTAACAATGAATTCTAGAAATTATGTTTGAGAGACGGCAAACATGAATGTTTTTGTTCATAGCCTGACGTTAGTGAAGATTATCTTTCTGAATAAAATGTATAAATATCATAAACTTTTGTTCCCCACAGAGATTATTGTCTGTAACAATCCAACGATGCTAACAGGGCTGGACACTGGAGAGACTTTATGGGGGCCAAGATCTCCTTTTAGACCCTGGTTTCTCTGGTTGAAATGTAAATAAAGTTCCTGCAGTGGAATTGTGGGTAAAATAAGGAACATTTGCTCAGTGAAAGAGAGGGAACAGAAAATAAAGGGAGGGAGAAATGAATGAGCATTTTTCACAGTTGGGACTTGAAATGAGTTCAGATGAAAGTTGTGGATGTTGTTCTCCTCCCGGTGTGATCTGTGGCTCTTTATGTGGAGTCCTGTCGTGATCTGCAGCTTCCTCCTGGATCCAGCGGAGCTCCACCGGCTTATTTTCTGGCTATTTTCCAGCAATCTCCCCGCCATCATCTCTGCTGGCGGCGTAGATGACGGAGCCTCGGCTGCTCCCACACGAAGCGTTTTGACAGGAACACAGAGCCAGACTTGATGTTTTGACACCTAAACTGGCTCTGAACTCTTCCTCGGTGGTGTGTAGTGACGGCGAGGAGCGAGGTGGAGGAGGTAATTACTCCATGTCGACTCCCCTGCAACAGAAGTGGAGGATGTAAATGTCTGTCAGGGAGCTGTGAAGCGTCTTCCGCAGACGGGAGATCAGGATCAGAGACGTTGAGGATCAGGATGTTTTTACAGTAAAGATGGATTTAAACCAAAAAACAATCCTCATTTAATTAAATAATTGATTTATTAACAAGTGGCTTTGATTGATCTGTGTGAGAGCGTTGCAACAGTTTTCTGTCAGTCTGAGAAACATTCAGCCATCAGGGTTGTTTGTTCATCTAAATCAATGTTTAATCATTATTACTGCAGTTATACTGTTTCATTAGCACAATTATTCAGCACATATGCACTTATTTTAACTTTCTTGTTGTTATTTCTATTCTTAAAATGTGGGAAAAAAACAGGAATAAATAAAGTGTTTCTGATTCTGGATTTTACATTGTGGTATTGATACTTTTACATATTACAGGTATAACAGGTTATAAACAGTCTCATTTTAATACTGATGCCTCTTTATGAGCCACATAAACATCAGAGAGAAGGCATTTCTATATATTTATTATTAATGTGAGTTGATAGAAACACTCTCTCTCTCTCTCTCTCTCTCTCTCACACACAGTTAGAGGATGACATTGTCGCTCGTCCGAACTACTTCACCACCATGAAGAACTTTGCGCTGCAGCAGCCGCTGGAGGAGTGGATGATCCTCGAGTTTTCTCAGCTCGGATTCATCGGTGAGTTGCTGGATCCCGATCCCAATCCCAGTCCTCTCCTCTGAATCCCAGTCCTCTCCTCTGAATCCCAGTCCTCTGCTCTGAATCCCAGACCTCTGCTCTGATTCCCAGTCCTATAGCAAATAAAATAAAATAAATAATTAAAATAGGATGTAAAAAGAAATAAATTACACGCATACACAGGAAATATTGTGTAAATTCACATACACGACTGCTTATAAAGTGCATTTAATGTAATTTAATGTAATTTTGTTTTTTTTAATGAAAACAGGGTTGTGAGGATTATACCAACATGTGAATCTATTCCTTTAAATTCTGATTGAATTTAGGAAGTCTGCATTTTATGTTTTTTATCGTTACCTCTGTCTCAGTCTGTCGGCGGGTTGTTGTGGTCGAAAACTCTGAAAAGCGAGTAAGTGGACCTTTGGGATTCATTCTCTTGGTAGCATGTAGTGTTTCCGAAGGTTGAGAATGAACTTTAAAAAGAGTTTGTGGATCTGCGAGGTGAGGAGCGCTCTTCCATCTGGCGGTTAAATTAAATCCAGCAGATTAATTGAAGCGTCAGCCTCCTTCTGATCTGCTCTCTAATTATTCTGTCGAGGCTAATCAATGACTTCTGTCTTCCTGGATCGGTCGATGCTGACATGTGGAACGTTACTCGCCTGGAACCGGCTGATCTGGAGTCAGGTTTTTTCCTCAGAAGTGTTTCCAGCTCTGACAGATGGAGGCTGGCGGGCGCCTCCAGAGCCAGGAATCAGAAAGGTCATCGGTCCGATCAACAGGACGGCACTTGATGTCTGAACGGAAACAGCTGATGTCTGATGATCAGAGAGGAAATTTAGCTGCTAACACATATGTTACCTCCAGGAAAATATGAGTGGATTGACAGGAAATGAATCAGTTCCAGCTTCTATATGTGTGTATCTGCTGGTTTGTTCTGTGACAGTAAACTGAATCTCTTTGGGACATTTGTTAAAGGGGAACTTGGCAACTTTTTCAGCTTAATAAACCCGTTTAGAAATCATTTGGATGGTTAAATGGCCTG